AGCGGATGATGATTAGTATTCCTTATGTCATGAGTATCTTGGAGGTGTCCCAACTAATTTCAACGGTGGTTGAATACTTTTATCATTGTTGGAAACAAATTTTCAACATTTGAGTGAAGATTGTTCCGAGGAACAAGCTAAAATATTTACTCGAGGTTGTATATTACAATTCATAGGAGGGATCTTGATGCCCGACAAATCTCGCAACCAAATTCATTGTATGTGATTGCGTCACCTCGAAGATTTTCATGTTATCAGTGCACTCAGTTAGAGTTCTGCAGTTTTAGCATTTCTGTATAGAGAAATGTATCAGTCAACTGATTATCTGAAAAATACTATCGGCAGATGTCTCATTCTTCTCCAGTCATAGACGTGGTATTGCATGCCCTTTTTATGTCCAATCATGAATAACTCGTTAGTCATCCTGTTATTGTTGAGGTAATTTCAATACTAAGTTCATATATAAATAATTTTTTTGTGAGTATATAATGAAATATTTTTTACATTGAATAAGTGGTCATGTACAATGAAAAATCATCGTGATATACCAGACGAATTGGAAGAAATTCGGTTACTCATTGATCAAAATGTTGGTACATAGGCATGTCTTTAAATTTTATTATTTATCTTTAGTTATCGTTATATAATTATAATATTATATATATATTTGTTTTAGTTTCAATAGCCTCCTTATTTTAATGAATAAATGAGGTTTTACATCCCATCTCACTTGAGTAGCTCATTAGATGTATGGATGACGGTGATCCCTCTGATATGTTACGCTATTGTTGAGTGGTATCCTATTGATCGCGTACTCCGCCAATTTAGTTTCATACAATATATTCCTGAAGCACCTAGGAAACTCGACAATATGCATAACATCGATAGACAGGGCAAAAAAGGATGTCAACTGGCTGATGAAGCACGGCGAGTGGATAATGATCTGGGAGGGTCTACGTGGACGCATTCCCCCCAGGGAGCCGATTTATATGGATCATTATTCGGTTGTGGTTGATTATTATCAGTGGTTCAACATGAATGATAAGTCATTCTTACTTTTCGAGAAAGCACGAGGCGAGAGCATTCATCGGCGTCGAGAAAAACATCCACCATTATAGTATCATCGTCCTCCGACTCGTAGACGGAGAGCAGACTCTTTCGACTTGTCCTCAGCTATAACACCGGAACCATTACAGCAGCCAGCGTCTACACCAGTTTATATTCCCAGCTCGCCATTATACATGGGAACATCGTCGGTTCAAATGACACCGCAACCGTGTCAGATAGCACCGCAGCCGATTCAAACGCCACCACGGGATTTTATGACACCTCCTAGCTAATATTATATTATCATGCTTATAGGTCCAGTGTGGGCTTCATATGCTGCTTATTTAGCATGTTGTGCTTCACCACAGACACAGACACTTCCAGCTCAGTATAGATCGCAGTCATTGATGTCGATGTTTTCGTAGTTTTCACAATTCTCTATGAGTGGTGGGATGGATTGTTATATACCTCTAGAGTCCTTATTCTATGGAGGTGCTACATCATGATCCGTCCCTCATCAACAAAATGTAATGCTAATGATGATGATGATCAGAGTGAAGAGGATGAACAAGTTATACTAAGAAACACTCATCGTCATCTATCCCCCAAGTTGGGCGTTTTGGTAAATTTTTGTATTCTGTTTTGCCTTTTGAGTCCAATGATCAATAACTGCCGGTTCCCTCAATCTTTCACAAAGGTGTATGCAGTTGCCACTCGGGCCTTAAATTTAATTGGGCGCCCGTGCCCAAATCGTATTCCAAAGTCAGTCCCTTTTCTTTTTATCACTAAATGTTTTATTAAATTTATTGATGTAACATTTTGAAGAAACAAACAAATATTAACGTGGAGTCCATGTAATAACTTGAGGCTGTGCAATTGAAAAATAAAAATAGAGAGATTAAATTCAAAATGCACGGATAGTATTAAGACTTGGAGCATATTATAAATTTACAAGTCAAAGTGGATACAATTATACTAGACCACTAGCCCGCTCCACTCCCTCATTCCGATGCTTTAAAAGTAATCGTGCTCAATAAACTTATTTTTGTCTGCCCCTGAAATGGATAAGATTACAAGATTCTGAATTATATTGGGCAAAGGAGGAAAAGGAACAAATCGATGCTAATCCATAAGTCCCTTCAAACCAAAGGTATATCCTTACACCGTATCTACTATTTTGGTATTTAATAAATTGAGACGGTGGTGGATTATGCTTTAAAGTTCATTAATCAGTCAAAATACAAGACAAAATAATTGAAGTTTGGAGAATCCGTAGCTCTTCTTTTCTTGACTAGTCACAAAAATATTATGAAAGAAAACAAACCAAAGTAGTTCATGATCATTTGTAGATTACAATTCTATGTTTTTGCAAATAAAAAAGAATTTATGATCTACTCCTAATTTATTAGTTTTACATAAAAGTATAATTATTTAACGAACCAGAATAAATAATTAACAACTCTCACATTTTTATATGTAAAATGAAAAAAACGAAAGGATGATGTTAATTTTGATTGATTTAATACTTATTAATTATAATTTTATACGGTGTAAATGAACCATATCCTTGTATATATAATTTAAAGAAAATACAATCGAAAAGAAATTACTTTATCGACATAAGCGTCATAGATTTACGTTTTAAATTTAGCAAAACAGCTAATATTGTGAGTTTTCAATCAAATAAATAAACAAGAGACAAGTCGGTATAAATTTTGTTTGCCAACTTAAGCATGAAGGATTCTCATATTCTAGATAACGTTGGCTTTCAACTACTCTTAAATTTCTTGGGTTTGAAAAAAGGGTACCTATTCTAACGCAAATTGAAATCCAATTTTGTTTATTTATTTATAATGACTATTTTAAAATCCAGCATTAACCAAACTTTTCAAGATAAGTTCTTTGTAATAATTATTATAGTTTAATTTTAAGATAGATTATCTCGTTTCTATCAAATAAATTATAATAAAACGTTAAATACATATTATTTTATTATATCAATAATTAAAATGTACTAGGAATTAAACTGGAAAAAAAAAGTGGGGAGGGGGTCTGTGGAGTTCAATAATAATGGAGCAGTGGCAGCCTTTCACCCCCACTGTCCCTTTCTTCTTTTTTTCGTTTTGGGTTGTTTTCGGGACTTTGCTTTTTACGATACCTAAAAATATAACAAAAATTGGGCCACGACTCTCCATACTAATTTTAATTTCACAAAGCATCCATTCCGATACGAGTGGGACCAGTATAGTATAATATATTATCAGTATAATATATAAGAAAATATAAAATTAAATATATTTAAGTGTTTAACATTATTTAATTTATAAGAGAAAAAAGTGTGAGTATAAATATTATATTAAAGCCTTAATACAAAAATAAGTGCATGAAATTTGCTTCGAAAAATGTTTTTGTGTCTAAAGAATTTTTCGCTTAAAATAGGTGCATAACGTTTTCTTCTTACTATTTTAGGTGTCCAGACGTTAATTGCCGTTAAAAATCCCCGTTAAGAGGTATGTCATGTTCTGGTATTTTTTATTTTTTTAAAATATTTTATATTAAAAATTAAAAAAATAACAAAATAGTGTCGTCGCCTCCCCCCGCGTTTCCCTCCCCTGCCACGGCCGACCAAACGGCAAACAACCTATCACCACATCCGATCAAACAGTCGATTACCACGATCGATCTAAGGGATTTTTATGGGTTCAAAACCCTAAAACAAAAATCTTCAATTACACCATTTTTTTTGGTGTTTTATTGATTGTGAAAGTATGGGGCTTTTGGTCGTGGTGGTTGGTTGGTCACACGCAGTTGAGTGTATGGTCAATTGACAACGTTGGTGGCGATCGACGGTGGCAAACATATTAAAATTAAAGTTTTAAAAGTTTAAGTTTTCTAAGATTTTTAAAAAAATAGGTTTTTTAAAAATAAAAAAATATTTTTTATTTTAAATAAAATTTTTAAAATTATTAGAATGTAACACGTGTTGCTTAACGACCAAATTTAATGGCGATTGACGTCCGGACACCTAAAAGTATAATGGAGAAAACGTTAAATACCTATTTTAAACGAAAAAAAAAATTATACACTAAAATATTTTTTAATACGTAGTTTAGACACTTAATTTTATATTAAACCTACATTAAATTATTAACATGAGTACATGACATATAAAATAACGGGAACAAATACCCCCTACCTGTCCTCCGTACAATTGTACTCCCTTTATGGTTATCATCTCAATCAAACTAAAATTTGATGAACTAAATTACATTTTTTAATGAACTAAATCATTAGCATTACCAACATAAATTATAATCTAAGAATTTGTAATATATAAAGATCATATTCAATGGTAAATTTCGCAAAAGATTTGGCTTCCTTTTGAATACTTGATAGGAAGACTTTGACAGATGCGTTATTTACCAAATTTCTCCAATGTTGTTTTTAGTATCAAGGTGCAGTAATTGATCTTCAATCTTTTAGGTTGAAATTAATTTGTTAATGGCCTAAAACTCAATCGTCGCTGTAAATATTCTCGGGAAAACTTAGCGACGCTTCTATGAAAAATGGGTCTTGACAATCCAAATAGGGATCTTATTACTTTGTTAAGCAAAAAAGGGATACGTAGAAAACGAGGAATTGTGATGTTGGAGAGCCAAGTAATGAAGCGATATTCTTTTCTTATGGTTATGTTTTTCATGTGAACTTGAAGCCAAATAACAAATCATAATGTTTATGTTAGATACAAGATATATAGATAACAATGTAAATAAGGCAGAAAAAAGGAAGTCTTCTACTGTATTCATGCAAAAAGTTTCACTTTGAACAAATACTTGTTTCTGGTGACAAAAATTTCCTTGGCATGCCATGAGTTTGAATTCAGGAGCCAATATACAGGACCAACTGATTAACATACATTAGTCAGAAAATATTTGTCGGTGATAGTAGTTTTCACGTAAATTTTCTTTTATTTGTTGATATCAATTACATAAATAAAATCCCAAAAATTTAATCACCCATATATAAAAATCTAATCGGGAAAATAATCATAAACCACATAGCAGAAGGAGCTCCCTTTATAATTCACTTATTTTGCTGCTTCAAATCCTTGTAAAACCTGTTGATGAAATCCTCGGCGGCCTTGTCGACGCAGTCATTTTCTTCATCCGCGTCCCTTAAAGGAAAAGGCGAGTCTGTTATTCTGAGTTGCCTCGCCAACGGGGTTTGTCCGAACCCTGGCAACATAGGAGAAGAGGCGACCACGTTGTTGTAGCTATCGTTCTTGTTGAGCATCTCCAAGGCAGCCTTAACGGCGTTCATGGTGGCCATGTCGTCGTCCGGGGTAGGAGGCGCGTGGATGCAGGTGAAGAAATGATGATAGTAGTTGTTAATGCTGTTCTTCTTCTTGGCGGCGAGGTTGAAAGGGAAGGTGTAATTCGGGGTGTTGCTGCAGCTGAACTCGTACTCATTGGCCGCCGTGGAAGATGTTGAGACCTGGCGGTTGTTGTTGTGGTGGTGGTGGAACATGAGGTTGTCGATGGCTTTGGCACCGGCGATCTTGCCACGTTTGAGCATCATGTTGAGATCAACCATGAGTTTTCTCTTGGATACAATTCCTCTTCTTATCATGAAGAGGACTGTTTTTACAATGCTCCATACTCTTTTGGCCGTCGCTGGTGTATTTTGTTCCATTTTCTTTCGCCTTTGCCTTTACTAATCTCTCTATTTTTCTCTCTTTGTGGCTTTTGAGAGAAGAGGAAATTGGTTGTTGTTTGGGTTTGAGGGGAAGAGGAGAGAAGGGGTATATAAAGGGGAAGAGAACCAAAGCAAATACTCAGCTTGCTTAAACGTGGGTACAGCGTAGGTTTTATTACGGCCATCACCTCTTTTCATTTATTCTAATACATGATTTTTTTTATTTTACAAGCCTTTTAACTATATGTGATATTTTATAATTTGAATGAAGTGAATTTTTATATTTATATAATATACTTTAAAAAATTATTAGTGAAATGATAAAATTATGTATGTCAATATATTTATACACTTGTTCAATTCTTTGAATAATATATTTTAATTGTTTTATTTAATTATGACCCGTAAAGTATAAAATTATTAAAATATTTTATAATAATAATTTTAAACAAAAACATTTTAATAATTTTTGAATAAATTATGACGAGATTAATTAATGATATTAATTTTATCAGAACGTTTATTAATAATATATATAAATATAATTACAATAATTATACCTAATAATCAATTAATATAATCATAAAATTATATAATTTACTCATTAATAATTTTATCAACGCAAGAAATCTTAAAAAAATAGCTATTAACAACTAGAACTTTTAAATAATTTTTTACGCAATAACCAAAGGGTTCACCTTGTATGGATGATGTTTTCGTTACTTTTATGGTTTAAGTTCCTTTACAAAGCATATTTGCTTTATTCAACGGAACTGGCAATAATTGTGTGGCGGGCTGAAAAGTACATGTATTTGGTTCACGAAATATAATATTATTTTTAGAAATAAAATTATTGGAATGTAACATTACTCTGAGAATGTTGTATTTCTTTGTTTGGTTTGGTTTGGTTTGTTTAGCAGAAATATAAGATCACAAAATTTGGTTAGAAGAATATAAGATTATTTGGATGCATATTTTACCAAATTATCTTTGTGAGATATATTTTTAACAAGTAAAATTTTAATATTAAATTATAAATATTTGAATAAAAAATTATAAAATATTTTAATTATTACGCTATCTAAGTTTAAAGAAAAAATACATTTAACATATAATTAATATAATTAGTATATCAAACTTATAATTTTAAATAATTTTTATAAGTATCATATTTATTTATATAAAATATAATATAATATGAAAAATAATATTATGATCTCGAGTGGACAACTATATTATTTTTTAATATATAAGATTTATTTTTTAATAACTCAAAATTAAATATTATCTTAAATAATTAAATTTTTACAATAATAATATTTTCACCTCATAAAATTATGAAATAATTAATATACTAAATATTAAAATAGAAATAATTTTAACTACTCAAATTTTATTAATATTTTATTAAATTAAATTCTTTGTATATTATTTTATTAAGTTTATAATTTTGAGTAAAGCATAAAGGATAAGAATTGAGAATGATCCATATGAAAAAAAATTATTATTTTAGGGGTATTTTTGTCTTAAGTGTTGAGAATTGTTCATTACCTAAGAATTTGGAGATACTGACATTCCCACCATTTTAACCCAAAAATGCTACTATTAGTAATAAGTTATTACCTGGTGATAATTTTTTCTGTGAACCAAACATGAGAATACAATTCCAGAAAATATCGTTCCATTGGTAATAATCTTTTCGACGAACCAAACACACCCTACGGGCAAATCAATGGGTTCTAAGAATTATTTGTGTATCATCATTTTGATAAAAATAAGAATAAAATTAAATAGTATATTTATTTGACACTTAAAGGTCTATGTTAATTAGATAAAATAAATAAATGACACGTTAAATAAGTAAATTATCAGTTTTTGTCCATTTTAGTAATTAAACATTAATTTTTTAAACTATATTTAAAGTTTAGTTTTTGTTTTATTTTAGTACTCGCCGTTAAAAACTTTAGTTTTTGTTTTATTTTAGTACCCCTGTTCAAAATTTAATGTTAAATTTTGAAGAAGAAAAATTGAGGTACTAAAAATAGATCAAAACTGATAGTTTAGGTACTAATCGTGTTAAGTTTTTAACTGTAGGATACTAAAACGAAACAAAAACTAAACGTTAGGTATAGTTTTGAAAAAATTGAAAGTTTAGATACTAAAATAGACCAAAACTGATAGTCTAAGTACTAAATTTATAGTTTACCCTTAAAAAACCTTCTTTAAGTACTAAAACTATTTTTTTTGGTCAAACTAAATACTTAAACTTCAGTTAAAAAATAGTTTTCGGCCAATAAGATGTAAACACTACACACAAAATTAGGTAATTCCTTTGATAAAAAAACAGTTTAGGGACTTAAAGCAAAAAAATCATAGTTTAGGAACTTATTTTGACAAAAAAAGGTATAATTTAGCTAATTTTTTTAGTTTAAGCCAAAAAAAAAGTGAACACATTGTTTTATAACACACCTGTTAAGATTTTGCTCGCATCGACTACAACATACGATCATAAAATTTCCAAAAAATATAGTATATATAAAATATAAATTTTAAAAAATAAACGGTAAATTTTTATGAAAAATTATCTACTTAAAACTAAAATCTTAAATAACTTTAATCCATTTCATTACTAAAATTTTATATAACTTCTTCAATAATTTAATTTGTAACACCAAATATAATTAACAATTTATACCAATATATATTTGTACATTAAAAATACTAAGATATAACTGTTTTTTATTAATTAAATATTACATAATAATGAAATCAATGCTTTTTAAAGGGAATCCATAATATAAACATTTTGCCAAATGCGTTACTTTATATTTGGCCGAATAAACAAATAATGAGTTGAAAAACACTTACGTTTGGAAAGAAAGCCAAATGTGAAGCAAGGTATGGAGTGGCTGCTTTTGTTTCCACATATACCCCCCAACTTTATGCATATATCATCCTAAACTTTTGTTTAATTAAGCAGTTCACCAAAAAAAAAAGAGGAAAATCCAAGGCTGTCCTTGGGAGGTTGAAGCAGGCCGATGACTTTGAACGCATGAAGGAGTTTCCTTAGCCTGTAAACAAAGGGCAAAGCAATAACGGGCTTTAACAAAGCAGAGTCTCTCTTTTTGACAGAATATAAAAGAAATCAATTTCAATGTGAGTTCCATTATTAGATTTGTTTGTATTATCAGTTCAGGGTTTTGACAAATCAAACGTGGCCGAACTCGCTCGTCCTTCTTTCTTCTTTCGTCTGTCCATCGAGAGGTACAATATTGTAAGGCTGCTCGTCCTGTTTCAATTATTTAATCTTTTCCAACTCTTAAAGCTCACTTTGTACTATTTTCACCCCCTTTTTGGGTTTTAAATATTCTAAATACACCACATTTTAGCTGTAATATTTTGGATGCATTCGCCTAGTTTGAAGATATTCAATTTCTTATATGAGAAAAAGTATTTCCAATAACACTACATGAGATATGTATATAGACATGAAAGTAAAAAGATATGGAATGTGAATATGATCTTAAAATGATAAAAGGTACTGCATATTGTAAAATCCAAACTAATCAAAAATAATTGTATAAATCAATTAAAATAGATTCAGATAAATATGTACTGCTTTGCTTTTGGCAGTCTGCAGTATTTGGTTTTGCATGTGCGAGCAACAACTCAACTGGAGGCAAGCAGGCTGCAGTTTCTTTGAGGTGAATTCATTTCAACTCATGTTGCTTTGCTTACATAAAGAGACTTCTCAAGACGCGAGAAAGGAATGTTAATGTTCACCCCAAGCATATGGAGTGATAAACAAGAGTGTGAGTTCATAAGAAATTCAAAAGAATGCCGGAGACCAAGATAAAGAACAAGGAGGTCACCTAGAAAGGATTCCATCAAGAAGGAAAGATCATGCCTTGCTAGCCTCGACGTGAACGTATGCTTGATCATACTTCTTTCCTTCGCAGTTGTATATGCTTGATAAAAAATAATTCATTCAATATTTGGCTAGAATTTGATTTGATGGAGCCCTAGGAATAAAAGTTTGAGGCTATCAACCTAATCAAGAGACAAGATTAGGGCAAACTACAATAATAGTCTGTAATTTTTTTTATTTTGGAATGTTTTCACTTTGATAATCGAAGTTTTAGAATTTATATTACATTAGTTGAAATTTTAATTTATTTTCATAATAATTATTATCGATAAAATATATAAAAAGTTCTAATTTTCTAAGGTGGTGTTTGTTTTTGCAGAGGTAAAATGTATGCAGTCTGCGGACCGCATCTGCAGCAGAAGAGGTGGACCAAAAGTCTGCAGTCTGCAAGAAGAAGACTGATTGCTGCTAAAATAAACTGAAATATAAATAAACTAATTTTTTAAACTTAAAAGAGTTTTGCAATACTGAGATTTAAATAATTTTAGTTTTACAATACTGAAATTTAAATAATCTATACAACTACAATAATAAATTATTTAAAATAAATCAATTCATATTTTAAAATAAATCAATCCATACTAATAAATTATTTAAAATAAATCAATCCATACTAATAAATTATTTAAAATAAATCAACACATACAACTACAATAATAAATCAATCTATATTTTAAAATAAATTAATCCATATTTTAAAATAAATCAATCCATACTAATAAATTATTTAAAATAAATCAATCTATACAACTACAATAATAAATCAATTCATATTTTAAAATAAATCAATCCATACTAATAAATTATTTAAAATAAATCAATTCATATTTTAAAATAAATTAATCCATACTAATAAATTATTTAAAATAAATCAATCCATACAACTACAATAATAAATCAATCCATATTTTAAAATAAATCAATTCATACTAATAAATTATTTAAAATAAATCAATCCATATTTTAAAATAAATCAATCCATACTAATAAATTATTTAAAATAAATCAATCCATATTTTAAAATAAATCAATCCATACTAATAAATTATTTAAAATAAATCAATCCATACAAATACAATAATAAATCAATTCATATTTTAAAATAAATCAACCCATACTAATAAATTATTTAAAATAAATCA